CAGCAGGACCAGAAACTGGTGATGTGTTGGTTGCTATGGAGAGCAATCAACAAAAAATATCCCGTAGCCGTAATTCTATCTTGTAAGGATCATTAAACCTTTTTATATATATATATATTGGAAATGTAATTATGCAGCTTGGTTTGTGTTCGGCTAGTTTATTATAAGTGCACAATGCCTTGCAAACCTGTCTATAAATATATTTGATGGTTAAAGTGCATAGCTATGAGCGTGACTTATATTTCAGTCTGTCATTATGTTAGAGTGTGTTTCGAAAAACTTCTCCATAAGTACTTATAAGAGAAGAAAATTTAAAAAAAAAATGGAAAAAAATTCTTCAAAACAGACCATTAAATATTGGGAGTCATACTTTGTTACATGTCCACTTTACTTATATATTATAATTGATGAACTGGTTCACTGTTTCTCTCTTAATGTTGTGGGTCATACTCAACATCTCCAACTTTAGAGTCACTAATTTGGTCACTTCTTCTCGACTTAATCCTAATATTTTATGAAGTAGGCTGCACTTCCCTCTTCACAGTGCGCCCAGGTGATGCATGTCAGGCAATTAACCAGGAGGGTTGGATTTAATGTCTTCGATATATAACTGTCATTATGCATGAATTGAGCATGATATTTTGATCCATTCTTCTTTTTCTATTTCTTTGCTACATTGATATGTTTAGTTAAATTGGCCTCTCCCTTGGTGCTTCAAGAGGAATAAACCATTTAGATATATATTCTGGTTTAAGTTATTTTGTTTTCTGCAGGCCCTTTGAGCTTTTGGAACCGTTTAGAATGCATGAGTTTCCTGAAGGATCATTACGCTTGCGTCCATTTGAATGTGCTCAAAGCTAAAGGTTTGCTAATTCCCGTCTGCTGGTAAATCCTACTTTGTTCATTTCTCTTGCACGTGAGTAATATTCGGATTCCTTTATAAGACCCTGTCCAGATAAATTGAAAGGTAAAATGAATTACATTTCTCTCGTAAGTTAAAATTTAAAATCAACTTGTACACTAAGATTTGTAGAGGTTTTCTCTTCTAACTTCTCCAAAAATAATGTTGCATAAGTTGATTTTAACTTGCAAAAAAAGTTTGATTTATGTTGCTTCTTGTTTTCTTCTTCAGCAATTATTTATTGAGATATTTATTCCAAGTGTCTCCCAAGTATAATTAGGAAGCTTTTTAGAGTGATAAATATCCCCCAAATGGGCTGACAGCTAGACTTTGATCTCTGAATAGAAGAGCCTCAGTTTTTGGCGTTAGTAATGTTTCAAGACCAATATTCCAGTGAGACCTTTTGGTTGTGGTTTGAATGTTTCTATTGGCTAACTAACTTGATGGGTTCAACCAAAGTACAAACCAAACAACATGACAATATATCAAAATCTGCAATTTTTTGTTTGATGTGATCTTGAATTTTCATTTCCTGGTATTGTTGCTAATTCATATCTTATCAATTAAACTTGTATTTCATATACCTTATCATACACTACTTAACCGGAAATCACATGATCCTCAAACATCATAATGATTTTTAAATAATTATCAGTTTTAAACAACACTTAGGAATCTAAGAATGGGATTTGCTTTAGTTGCTGAAGCATTCAAATCTGGCTGAGTTCAAGATGTTTAGAGAGCACGTTTATTTTTGACTTTTTGAATTGTGGCTATCTTGACCAAATTTCGAACGGTTTCTATCCTTTGTGGAACATTCCTGGCCTGATATGGAACCATCGTGCTCGTGTTTGTATCTGATATGGAAACATCCTTTGTAGGTGCTCTTTTGGTTGTGCGCATGAATCTGGACATCGATGGGGAGCATTATCTCAGTGGGTAGGAGCTTTGACTATGGGAGGCATTTTAAGGACGCGCAGAATAATTTGGGACGTTGAAAATAAATCTGGGGTGTTATCCTGGATTTTTTTTGGTAAAAAGGTATTATCCTGGATTTATTTCCTGGACTGTTTATGATTTGAAAAAAAAAAAAAACAAAAACAAAAAACAGAGAGCTGTACAAATTCACTGGCTGTCATGGTTGCTTATATATTGTGTATAGTAAAAGGTGGTCACTGAATTAAAATATTACATTTCTTATATATAATCTCTGTATATAGTAAATGATCCCAAGAAATCCTGTTAGTTTGAGCACGGATATTATCGCATTTCTTTTATTTAAAATAAGTGATGTTTAAGGGGTTTTTTTTTTCACAAAACATTAATTATTTATAAAAAAAAAATTAAAAAAATTGATTCCTTAAAGTTTCATTTAATATATTTTTGTGTTAAAATGCCACCCACTGAGAATTTTGCATTTTTAGATTTGGGGGAATTATAGTTATGCATTTTTAATCCTGGCTCTTTTTTTAATTTATAATAAATATATTTTTCACTGAATTAATTTGTGGAACATATACATGAAAATTGTGAACTTTAGAAATTTATTTTGACAATATTCTGGAAATTAAATTCAGGAATGTTACAGGATTAATTATATTTTGAAAACTATGAACTATAATTAGAAAGTAATTTTTGGAATTAAGTTAATTTTGAAATGTTATGTAATTTTTTGTTTGTGTACAATATAATGTTAATTTCATACTTAATTCGAATTTCGATTAAAAGTAAGAAATATTAATTAAATTTTTTTGGATACGATTTATTTTTTAATTTAAATTTATTAATTTATTCCCTTTTTACTTTGTTTGTATTAGTTTTATAGTCTGAGTATGATATTTTCGTTATTTATAGTAGACATTAAAATTAAAATATATAAAACAAACTTAGTTTATAGAAGATTAAAAAAAAGGTGAAATAATGTAACTTAAAAATATAAATTTAAAGATAATAAAATTACATGGATACCCCTAGTAAAGAAGGGGGGAAAAACAAAAGTGGTGTGAAAATGAAAATTTTAAATTAAAAAATAAAAAAATAAAAAGTTTGTAGCATAATAGGACTTATTCTTTTTTTTTTTTTGGTGAAAGTTTTCCTTAAAATCCTTTAAAAATTTTAGTAGTTGAAAAATATAAAATGATTTTTTGTCGAATTAAATGTTTCTTAAACTAATCAAAATAATAATGTTGAAATTATAGTTGCTGAAAATAATTATAAAATAAAATATGTTACGAAGAAAATAGAATGATCGTTGTACTTTCAGTACAAAAAAAATTATTGTTTTAATATCATGTAGCCTGATCTGCATTGGAAAAACTTACTTTTGTATAATATAATTAAAGCTGAAAAATATTTTTAAAATGGTAACTGATCTATTAATATTTTTCATAAATCATTGATGTTATAGAATTTAATCAATCATGTACTTAATTAAGCCAAATGATCAAAGTGATTGATTTAAGTTTAAAAATTAATTGATTGATTTCAATAAAATATGTCAAAGTTTACCTAATATTGTTTATATTTTTTTATAACTAAACAAATTGGTTAAAAAATAAATGTTTTTTGCAGAAAAATATATATATATTAGAAGAGTAAATGACTCTAAATTACCACGTGACATGGCTCAAGATTATAAAACCTTGCCTTATAATATTTAATTGATAATAGACTTTGTAATTATTTATAAATAATTTATACTTTGCTTTAAAATACTTATAAATTTTTAATTGTCATGGTATATCTAGCTAAAGAATTCAATTGAAATATCTAATTGTTTAAGAATACACACTTTTTGATTAATTTCTTGAACTGGTTATTACATTTCTAAGAGAAGTGGAGGCAAGGGGTTTCAATGAGCACACGAGAACAATGATTATAATACATGCATACAATTAATAGAACACTATTTCTCTAATAATAATGATGACCACTTCACGCATACTGGTGCATAATTAGTTACTATTATATATCCTAAAGTTTGAAGCCAGTGAGGTTATTATTATCCTATCATGAATTTGAAAGTATGTGAACATGATTTAGCGGCAATTTGACATGTTTCCATCGTGGAGGAGCAAAAGTCAAAAGTGATTATCCAGTATTTGACATGTTTTAACTTTAAAGATAGATTTTGAACGAGATTAACAACTACAATTAGGTCAGAAACCGTATTCCAAAGCCCGTAATATCCGTTTTCTATGGTGGATCTTGCACATAGTATATAGATATTTCTAGAATTAATATCTACTCCCACTGCCAGGTTGCTTCAATAGAATTGTTTCACCTAACCTGCTTCTGTTTGATGGGTCACACTCATGTCTGCCATGGGAGATAAAAGTCCAACTCACTTCAGTTTTATTTTTGTAAACTCCAAATTAGTGCACATGTTCAACCCACTGCAGTTTAATTTTTGAAACATCCAAACATTGGTTTTCGTTTGGTTTAAGTGCATGTTTGGATGTGAATCCGGAGATCTTAAAACTATTTTTACTCGTAAGATGATAATTTTTTTCTTTATTTCATATTTTAGAAACCAAAAAATCTACAATTAAAAATTTCAAAATCACGTCTTACTAATTAAATTAAATAATTGCTATGAACATATAAGCATTTGTATAACCAATAAGAGTTGAGTCTGATAGAAAAGATGAATTTCTCACAGCCTAACGAACCAAAATTTGAATTCTAATTGAAAAAAATATTCGCATTTAATGTCTGATTATACTTTGAACAAGATTATCTTAAGAAGATATATATAAAACACTAAAATAAAATATATTGATTATTGTATAATTTCCTGTGAGCTCAACTATAAACTAGATTAATGTGAACATCTTACCATTACATTTTTTTATGTATTTACAATTACATTTATCTCAACCAATAATAAAATGATGTCTTGAAATTTTCTTGACTCAATTAATTAGACAAACCTTCTTATTAATTATTTAGTCCTTACTTTGGTAATGTTAAAATATATCACATCAGGTAGAGTTTGAAAGGTATCTTCACTATTTAAATCTCAAGTTAGGTTAATTAAAGTCTTTTTTTTTTTTTTTTTTTACATAAATGGAGCTAAAGCTCCCTACAACTAGAAACCTCTATAAAAATAAGCTCCGGCAGAATCTGTTGATAAATACAAAGTTAACAAAATCTGGAACAAAATTAAAGAACTTGAGCCCAACATCCATGTCTAAACCATAATTTGCCAACACATTTGCTGGCTGGTTTGCCTCCTTATATTAACTGACAACTTAATCTCTTGAACCACATAATAATATGAGTGGGTGAGAACACAACCAACATTAATCATCTCAATAGCAACTTCAGAATCACTTTCCAGAATAATTTTAGCAAGTCCATGCTCACATTCTAATTGCAATCCATCTCGAATACCACATAGTTTTGCATGGATACTTCATGAAATTATTATTACCTTTCATTTATTTATTAATTCTTATTATTATTAATATAGATAAAATAACTTAAAAGACACGTATAATAATTGAACGAAAGGGTACCATAAACATAATAGCTTGATAAAGACGGTTCCAGAATTAAATTTAAAAGTTAGAGTATCAATTTCAACTGTCACCCCATCCCATGTGTAAGAAAACTAGAGAAGGCAAAGAGAATCATTAAGCATTTGAATTGAGAAGTCCAAGGAGCAAGGTGATTTTCTTACAAAGAGACACTTGATTGTCAAAAGTTGTAGAATGCTCCATCCACATCGATCTCTCACTTACAAAAAAAAAAGCAACCAACAGATTCTCGTCCCACGTTTCAGAGTGTTGTTAAAGCCAAACACATGCTGCCCAAGCACGTCACTGTGTGTAATCTGTCCACACTCACTTTCTTGCATTTCTATAAAAAGAATTATTGGACCCTGCCCATGGCGTATCCAACTATATTTTAATTACGCATTCATAAAAGAAACACATAAATATAGTACCTCTGTTTCGATCGATGTAGAAACGTACTTTGTTGCATCTGTTTCCAGTTTATCTAGAGTTTTCTCCATAACCACACCTACTTCTAGTTCTATCCAAATACCATAACAAAAAACAAGGTGGGGTGCATGGTTAATTGATTTATGAGTAAGAGAAAGATGTATAAATAAAATAAGTAATGTAAAGCAAAGAGAAAAAATGCATAAAGCATTTTATAAAAATAAATAAAAATAAAATTGGCGTTATATATTTGGAGTCAATGAATGGGGTCTCGTGATAATTAATTGTAGACATTCAAGTATTAGGCTTAAAATATGGAGATCCGATACTTATTTTACAAAGTATTTATTAGAAGAATTAATAAGAAAAGTTGCGAAACTATATCTTGCACAACAGAACAAGTTAACTTTTTTCAACGATCTAAAAATTAAGAAAAGAAAATGCGTCCCCCATGGGTTTGTCCTCTTCGGTGCTTAGCCATAATTAATCAATTATCGGACTTTGTCCTATTAAGATGTATATATATTCTATTATTTTGTCCGTGTTGATAGCAACGGATTCAGATGTCCCCTCACACCCAATCCTATTTTTCTTTTTTTAAGCATACTCTTGTAACATGAAAATTAGGATTTCGGTGCAAATAGTCAAGAGAGGGTAGGTGTCCTACAATGTTAAAGGCAACACCTATTTTGCACTTTATATAAATTTAATCAAAGTATCCAATGATCTAAAATTCAATATTAGACTCGAGCTATCGTGAAACTGATGAAGCTTCATTTTTCATTGAAATCCATATGACATCATTAATAATGTAAAAAAGACTCGCTAATCTTACCCAGCGAATCGTCGTGACAAGAATTATAATGATTTGGAGGTGCTGGGGTGGAGGGTTTTGCTTTTTGCATGCAGGAAACACTTAATTATTAGTAGAATAAATAAAGGAAAAAAGAAAAAGAAAAAGAAATGTGCGTGGAATGCATTGCCTTGAAAGTCCAAAGGTAAGAATGAGAGTTTCCACTTTAAAGTTGAAAGACTCCTTCTTTCCAGATATGGGTTCCCATGTCTCAGTGATTCATCCTTCCTCTCACTTCCACTTCCCATCATGGGCTACCTCTCTTGCAATGCCCACTCCGCAATCGCCACCTGCCATCCCCATTTCAG